CCACTTAAAACTTCTCCACACCAAGTAGCACTCCACTAAACAGATTCTCTATTGTATTATCTCTATACTCCAATCCATTATAGTTTTTTGATCTAGTCCTTATTAATTAATATAAAAGGATAGCTCAAATTTTGCTTCTCCTTTTCTCTATTAAAGTTAGAAAGTAAGTTTACATTCTTAAAATTTCTCCATTAGATGAAGAATAAATAATTTTATTATTATTTTTTATTGTAATTTGAATTTTCTCTTTCACGATTTGATATTTCTCTTTATCCCATTTTTTGGAGTATTTCCATGTTACTGACGTTTAGAGAGCTTGATTATTTTTTATTTTAGAATTCATCTTTTAAAATATTAATTTTATTTATTTGATTTATTGATGTTTATATATGTAACTTGCTGGTAATGAATCCTCAGTCATGGTAAAAGATAATCTCATAAATTATTGAAATAGCTATAACTCATTTAACAGTTAAATTCAAAATCTACTACCAAAATTTCAAACTCATTCACAATACCTAACGATTATAATTACAAAATTAATAAAAGTTATATGCCATCCCCAAAATCTAAATAATTTTCTACAGGTGTATAAATATTATTTCTAGTTAAATTATTAGACTAAACGTAGTATAATAATTTCCTTATAAAATATTAACTTTATTAAAAATAAAAATTCATCTGTCATTACCCAAAATATTAATATGTTTTCCAGCAGAATACAATTAATAAGCTAGTCAATTAAGAGAAATAGATTTTTTGATTTTGTAGATATTGGTTGTTGAATTTTTAGAGAATTTTATTTTCAATATATTTAAGGCAACAATATCTCAACAAATTAATAATTTCTAATCTCGAGACTATTTTAATTTCGTATTTATCATTATCAGATAAGAATAACAAGGTAAATGGAGGATTTGCAAGGATTAATAAAATGATATGATATTTTGAATTCTCAAGATAAAAATATTGTTTAGTATACATTATTAGGATAAAGGGCTTATATTATAAATCCTTTTTAGTAATTGAATCTCTAATTGAATAATTTATTTTTATTTCATTTAGTATAATGTTAAAAGGATGGGTTACATTTCTGAAATCTGTGAGTCCGCTATCAATAAAAAGAGTTCAATGTAAAAAGCCAAATAATTATTAGAGTTCCATAACTTAATGTAAATTGATTATGGGCATTTGAAAATATTCTTAAATTAGATGTTAATTTATACAAAACGATGCATTATATGTAATTTATTAAACTATCAATTTTATGGTTAAATAATCAATTTATAAAAAATTATATTATTATTAAATTTCAAATTATTTTGTACTTTTACAAAAATACTTATTTCTTCTAAATACTAATGTTAGTTATGAAACTAAAGAGATTATGATTATTATTTCGGCATGCAATGGTTCTTAAACAATTTGATTTTTTCAAGAAATGAATATTCTTAGATCAAAAAAAACAGTTTGTTGGGATTAATTTATCTTAAGGATTTATGATATTATTTAAGGTAGGGCGTTTCGGCAATAAAATTAAGAATCAGTCTATGGAATCAAATACTCAATTTCTAAAATCAGTTAGCAATGCATTGATTTATTTATAAATGCTGATCAATTTTGAATCTCTTGTGGTTTATTTTAATTTTTCGTACTTTTGAAATGAAATTTGATATTTACTTTTACAATTTGAAAACAAATTTTGTTTAGGTTTTGAATTTTTCCAAACCATTTTTTAATAACTTCCTCTTTAGCTTCTTCAAGATGTAATTATTGTTGAGATGGTTAAAAATTAACTTTTTGTAAAATAATAAAGCATACTATAATCTAATCTGACATCAGATTAAATTATCTAATTGAAAATATTTCGTCCTATTATGGTTTAGAAGGCAAAGGTTTGTTAAACTTCTTGCGAGATGATTGAAGACCCATAAGCAGGTTGCATATTTAAAAAATTCAACTAATTCGGAAGTATCAAGTATAAATTGCCATAGTTGTGAATACACAATGAAAATTAACAAATAAATATAAATTTAGATTTTTGCAAGGAATTATGATGTAAAGATATGCTTTTCGAGGGCAATTATTGGCTTATTGTAAACTTTTATTTCATTCTTTTTGAACTACATTAAATCTATCCTCAAAATGGCTAAAAATATATCAAGTCGCAATTCTAATCGAGTTATCCATAACTTTTTAAAACAAGGATACTATATTCATTAGATCGATAAGAATCAATACTTCGATATAGACCATAATAAGAAATAATTTTTTTGGATGTTATTTTAGAATTGGAAAAATGATATTGTTATTTCTTTTTAAAAAAAATTCGCCATTTTACTTTGAACTCTTATGCTCAGTAAAATTTATCGATTCTTCCAGTCAATTAAAATTTTATTTCGTCATTTGAATATTCTTATAGCAAACTAGTTCCAAAACTGTTTGGAAAATTGCGGTCTTAAGGTATAAATATATATCTATAATAAATAAAATACAGGTATAAATATATATCTATAAAAAATAAAATACAGGTATATATATATATCTATAAAAAATAAAATACAGGTATTCTCTCCAGATGGTACTACATTAGAATCATACCTTCAGATTATGGTTGTAAAGATACTTTAACAAAATTTAACCCTTCAACAATTTATAATAATATTTTTTCCAGAAGGTGCTATATATTGTTCACTTTTCTTAGCTACCTCTTATATTACCATTCTAAATATTTTCCTAGAATCCCAATTTAGATGCTTAAGGAGCTTTATTTTGAAAGGAGAATTTGTTGATTATAAAGGATATTATTTGCTTTGATTTTAGAGTATATTTTAAGAATTCAATTATGCAAAAAGTTATGTGAGATTTCCCTTGTACAATTTACATCTATTCCAGAACACTAAATCGTTTATATATCTTCCAAAATATGTAGTGTAAGTTACTTTTTTGTTGAGAATATCAAATCCGAATGTAGTAATAGAAATTCAATATTAATTTTAAAAAAGAAAATGTATTGTGAAAAAGAGTAAGTTGGAGAGTTGTATAAAGTCTTGACTTTATCGTAAGATGTTGATGAAGAAGTCTTCCATATCCTCATTTACATATTAAAAAAAGAAAGAATTTAAGACTGCTTAGAATTTCTCTCATAGGATCAAAATAAATTTCTTGTAGAAATAGAAAGTTAAAAAGTAGATAATATATCAATGCTTGATAAAGAATAGACTCTTAAAAAAGAGAAGAACATTTATATAATAAAGGATGCTCTCAAAAAAATTTGGGAGCATGAATTTAATAAACAGAATTACTCTATGGATAATTATGAAGAAATAAAAAAGGATCTGATCATAAAAATATCATGGGATAAGAAAATCATAGAATTTCTCAAATTTTTAGTTCATCTGACTGCCTTGGATAAGAGATTTATTTAGTGTGGATCAAATTCTCTTCATTTGCTAGTTTAGATGAAGGCTGACTTGAAGGTATAAAGCTTTGAGAATATCAGGATTAGAGACACCTCTTTAGTTGGTGGAAATTTTATACGATGCAATTTCAATGGATCAGAATTTGACAATGTCGATATTAGTGGAATGAACTTGAATTAATCTTAAATGTTTAATTGTAAATGGTTAAATATCAAAAGTCATGAGTTAAATAAATTAAATGGGCATTTTGGAACAGTTAATTAGGTATGCTTTTCTCTAGATAGTAAATCATTTGCTTCTTGTAGTAATGATAATTCGATTATATTGTGGGATGTTAAAACAGGAAAAATAAAATCTAGAATCAAGGAAAAGGAAGAAGTAAATTCAGTATGCTTCTCACCTAATAATAGCGCATTAGCTTTCACCAGTGGAAAATTTGTATATTTATGGAATCTTAAAACAAGAAAATAAAAGGCCAAATTAGATGGTCATTTAAAATGTGTTAATTCAATTTGTTACTCTCCTGATGGTACTACATTAGCATCTGGTAGTGCAGATGACTCTCTCCATTTATGGGACGTTGAGACAGGTTAATAAAAAGGAAAATTAGATGGTCATTCAAGTGCAGTTAATTCAATTTGTTACTCTCCTGATGGTACTACATTAGCATCTTGTAGTTCAGATAAGTCTATCCGTTTATGGAATGTTAAGACAGGATAATAAAATGCCAAATTAGGAGGTCATTCTAGCATTATAAGGTCAGTCAACTTCTCCCCTGATGGTAATATATTAGCATCTGGTAGTAATGATAGCTCTATCCGTTTATGGGATGTTAAGAAAGGATAATAAAAAGCCAAATTAGATGGTCATTCACATTTTGTTTAGTCAGTAAATTTCTCTCCTGATGGTACTACATTAGCATCTGGTAGTTGGGATAACTCAATCCGTTTATGGGATGTTAAGCCAGGATAATATAAAGCAAAATTAGATGGTCATTCAAATTGTGTTAATTCAATTTGTTACGCTCCTGATGGTACTACATTAGCATCTGGTAGTTGGGATAACTCAATCCGTTTATGGGATGTTAAGACAGGGTAATAAAAAGCCAAATTAAATGGTCATTCATCAATTGTTTATTCAGTTAGTTTCTCTCCTGATGGTAATACATTAGCATCTGGTAGTTATGATAACTCGATTCGTTTATGGGATGTTAAGACAGGATAATAAAAAGCAAAATTAGATGTTCATTCAGGTAGTGTTAATTCAATTTGTTACTCACCAGATGGCACTACATTAGCATCTGGTAGTAATGATAACTCTATCCGTTTATGGAATGTTAAGACAGAATAATAAAAAGCAAAATTAGATGGTCATTCAGATTATGTAAGAACAATTTGTTACTCTACTGATGGTACATTAGCATCATGTAGTGATGATAAGTCTATCCGATTATGGGATCCTAAGACAGGATAATAGAAAGCCTAATTCGATGGTCATTCACATTTTGTTTAGTCAGTAAATTTCTCTCCTGATGGTACTACATTAGCATTTGGTTGTTCAGATAATTCTATCCGTTTGTGGGATGTTAAGACAGGATAGTAGAAAGCCAAAATAGATGGTCATTCAAATTGTGTTAATTCAATTTGTTACTCTCCTGATGGTACCACATTAGCATCTGGTGGTTATGATGAGTCGATCCGTTTATGGAATGTTAAGACAGGATAATAAAAAGCAAAACTAGATGGTCATTCAAATAGTGTAATTTCAATTTGTTACTCTCCTGATGGTACTACATTAGCATCTGGCAGTTCAGATAACTCTATACGTTTATGGGATGTTAGGACAGGATAGTAAAAAGCCGAATTAGATGGTCATTCAAATTTTGCTAATACAAATTTTCACTCATCTGATGGTACTACATTGGCAACTGGTAGTGATGATAACTCTATCCATTTATATGATGTAAAAACAGCACATGAGATTCTATCATTAGATAATTTTTACAAAGACCTCCTTTCTTAGTTTAAATTGCCACTTTAATACCAGCAAATTTTAAACAATAGTATTTATTACGATAATTTTTTAGCTGGGATTGATCGTACAATACTACGAATATGTTAAAATCCAATTTTGGAAGCTTCAGGAACTTTATTTTTGAATGGAGTATTTGAAAATTATTCAGGTTTGGAATTGAAATGATTTTAAATGTTGCTGTAGTAAACTGTAAAAAAAAAAAAAAATAATCAAAAAGTTATGATTTTTTTGAACTTTATTCATAATTGACTTGTAATAATGCTAATATCTATTTAATAAAAAATTTGTATTAGATAAAATTAGCATAATTCACATTATGAATTAAAAATTAATAAAAACGAAAGGAATCACTAGAATGGTTTGAAAACTTATCACAAAATTAATTATAACAATGTATATCTCAATCATGATTTTAGAAGTAAAGTTTAAGCATAGCTTTAATAAAAATAAGAATTAAACATTTGATAATGCTACTTAATTAATTATTTTAATGACTAAGAATAGGAGATTGACAAAAAATGACATTGCCTGTGTATGAAACTACTGAAAGATTTCATCTAATTTAAAGAATTCTAACTAAAACAACTTTTGAAATTATACAGGATAATCTAGCCATTCTAGTTGGCTTGTTTTCCTTTTTCTGATACATTTTGATTATGCAAAGTAGATATTTTAAATATCAAATTTCATTAATTATCATAAATTAGATATTAAATTAAAATTTAAATCTAATTATTGCTTAGAACTGACCTTTAATTCGATGATTTAATATAAATTAATAGAGTAAAAACTTAATCATTAGATAATAGAAATGGTAACATTTACATTATATGAAGTTCAAGGTTAGCCAAATTTCAAGATAATAATACAATAATACAATAATACAATCGTAATAATATATTAAATATATAATTTAAATAATAAATAAAAATGGCAATTTGGTTATTGGATCAACAAATGTTTCCTTAAGCGCACTTTAAATGCGAAAAATTTTGAAGTGACTCCAAAGTTATGATTTTGGTATCCTATTTGATATTATATGTTAGGACAGATTTAAGATCATTTTGGGAGAATAATATAAATTAAGTTGGAGAAAAAAATAGTTTGATTAAAATTGAAAAAAATCAATACTTGATTATTATTTTCTTGAATCGATATTACACTAAAATTTATTTTGGAGGTTGCCCAGTAAAATAATTAATATAAAGCTATGAAAATTAATTATCATTAGAATCATTGGTAATATTCATATTAATTTTTACAACTCACTAGTCTGAATTTTAATGAACTCGCTTTGTTATTTACTTAAAAGTGCAGGTTGCGTAATCAATATTTTCGTTTAAGTTTATTATTAACATAATATTATAAATTGACATTAACAATTATAAAGCAAGTGAATATTAAGATATTTGTAAATTTTATATTATTCTACATACAGCTAGTTAATATTATAGCGAAATAGACAATAAATATATATAATCAATTTCTAAGCGTAGAATTCTACGAGCAACTATTCATTTTCACTCTCTGAGAAAAATAAAATTAATTAGTGATTGTGATCTCTTAGAATTCATACCTATAAAACCCTATTTGCATTATCAATTAATATATTATTTATTATTGTAATGTCCAACTACTTATTTAGAATCAACCTAATTCTACTGAACTGTTTATGTAAGGATACCATATTATACTTTAGTAACATGGAGTTGTGATCCAGGATAATTTAGTGATAATGGTTCATGTGTGAATTGTGTAGCTCATTGCTTAACCTGTTCAAATAATTATTCTTGTGACACATGTTAGCCAGGTTATTATAAAGTCTTAGGACAATGTGATTCATGTCCAAATGGATGCTTAACTTGTGGTTTAAATGTGATACTCTAAAAAACTTGCTCATCTTGCTATCCTAAGTTTTTTAAATCAGGTTCAAATTGTAACTCATGCCCTACTTAATGTGCTACTTGTACTTCTAACACTTTATGCTAAACTTGTGTGGATCACTATTTATCTAATGGATCTACTTGCTCAGTTTGTGATGCTTCTTGCAAGAACTGTCAAACTACTACCACTACTTGCGCATCATGTTATCCTGGCAAATATCTTTCCGGTTCATCATGTTTCCCTTGCTCATCACCATGTTCTGAGTGCATAATTAACTCAAATTCTTGTACTGCTTGCATTGACAGCAACAAAACAGCTGTCAATTATCAATGTGTTTGCGCTGACGGGTATTATATTGATGGGTCAAATTAATGTTAGTCTTGTACAGCCCCATGTTAAAAGTGTGAATATAATACTAATAATTGCACAGATTGTGTCTCTACTTTTACATTAAGTACTTCAACAATATACCAATGTGACTGTTCTCCTGGCTATTTTTAAGTTAATTCTCAAACATGTTAAGCATGTGTAAGTCCATGTTAAACATGTGAATAGAATCAGAATCACTGTGTAACTTGTGTGGATAATAATTAAGCTGTCAATATTTTATATCAATGTGTTTGCAACCCAGGTTGGATGTTAGATACTGATGGTATCACATGCATAAAATGTTAATTACCATGTTTAGAATGTGTTGGTACAATTCATTAATGTGTTACCTGTTAAGATCAAACACACTAATAGCCTGACAATTGTGATTGTTAGCCCGGATGGATATACGACATTAATTATAATTGTATACGTTGTTAATAACCTTGTAAAACTTGCGAGATATCTACTTCTAAATGCTTAACATGTTTGGATATTAATCAGGAAGTTAATCCTACATCATCATAATGTGTTTGCAAATCCACCTATTATTCTGATAGTCTAATATCTTGTGCAAAGTGTTAAGAACCATGTTATGAATGTGATACAAATGGTTGCATCAACTGCATCGATACAAATCAAACCCTGGATTCCGATAAATAGTGTATTTGTAAAACTGGATTTGTTTAAAAAGGTTATGTATGTCTTCAATGTTAAAACCCATGTAATACATGTATTAGCACTGTAACCTAATGTTTAACATGTGTGGATCCAAATTAAATGGCCTAAAATTTTAAATGCCTATGTACGGAAGGTTTTGTAAAGAAGGGAGATTATTGTTGTGATCAACATTGTTTGGATTGCTAAGGAGTAGATAATTGTAATAGTTGTATCAAAGGATACTTTCTGACTAATATTAGTAGATGTTTAAAATGTATTGATTATTGCAATGTTTGCTATAATCAAAGTGTTTGCCAAACCTGTTAAGAGGGATACTTTATCAATCAATTGTCACAATGTGCAATGTGTGTTCCTTCTTGTAAGATTTGTGGTGATCCATTAATTTGTGATACATGCTTTGATGGCTATTATCTACTGGATTAGAAATGTGAACCATGCAATCAAAATTGTGTAACTTGTAATGAAGCATCTATAAAGTGCCTTACTTGTAGGCCCTTTTATGAAATAAATTTGAATGATTAATGTGTTTGTAAAGTTGGATATTATGAAGAGTAGAATCAATGTTATAGATGCGAATATCCATGTAAAGCATGTTTAAGTAAAACAATATGTTCAGAATGTTTTCAATTATCTAATTTAAACTTAGATGAGAATGCTCAATGTAAATGTAATCCAGGGTACTTCTGGAAGTAGAACAATTGTTTTTAATGTTATTAATCTTGCTTAACTTGTGTAGATGATTAATTTAATTGTCTTACTTGTGATTAATTACTGCATCGAATTTAAAAAAATCACAAATGTGAGTGTGCTTAAGATTATTTTGAAAGTGAAGATTTAGTATGCATATCATGTTTGAGTGCTTTAGGGAAAACTTAAGAAATTTGCAAATATTAGGATTGTAAAGATTAAAATTGGACATATGGAGAAGAATGTGATGATGGTAATGATGTAATTAGAGATGGTTGCTCAAATTGTAGGATTGATCATAATTATTCTTGTCATAATGAAATAATGAAGTAGTCAATTTGTTTTCAATGCTCAGCTCATTGCAACTAATGTCAATTTGATCCTTTGACAAAAAAGTCGCAATGTATTAAATGCGATATTGGATATTTCTTGGATAAAAATGATTGTGTTGAATGTTCAATTAATTGTTTAGAATGTATTGACTAAGCTTATAATTGCGTAAGTTGTAAGTTTCCGCAATAAAAGAATAATAAGTGTTAACTCTGCGAATCTGGATATTATGCTGATGAGATTAATGGAACTTGTTTCAACAATTGTGGAGATTAAATTAAAGTAAAAGAGGAGGAATGTGATGATGGCAACACCATTAAAGGTGATGGGTGTGATAATTTATGTAAGCTAGAAAATAAGTATATATTTAAAAACGGCGTAAGTATCGTACCAAACTATCCAAAGCCATTATTATAGAGCGTAGGATCCTCTTAAGTTTACTCTATTATTCGATTGTTTAAATTATCCTATTCTGTTCCAATTGTTATTAGTAAAGGCTTTCAAATAAAAGATTATCTGACCTTTCACATCTAGAACGATCTTGGTGTGCAATAAATGGATTAGTCCATCCAACTCACTCAAGAAACTTCATAGGTCAATGAGTTTAATTAATCTCAATTCAGTTTGATGATAAACATCACTTTCTCAAGAAGCTCGTAAGATGAAAACTTATTAGTCAAATTCTAAAATAAATCTGTTATTTATTCAAATGAAGGATACTCCCAATTTGAGGCAGAAGTCTCTTGCCTTATACCTAAAGTGATATACATAGATAATGCAGTTATTGCTCAAGTGCAATTAGCAACCAATAGTAACTCCTATATGCTCTACTTTATTGGGGCAATGTGTGGAGGATCAGTGATATTTGGAGGAGTGGAAGTCTTTTTCAATTTGCTAGATACTCTCTAAATGCTATCTTATTTGAAATACATTAATACATAACTCCCTTATAATTTATAAAACTATTTTGAACTTTTTGGATTTGCTTAGTTTAATTTTATTTAGAAGATATTTAATTTCTCTGGATTTATTGATCTACTAGTCGATCCTAAACAATTAAAGAAGATACCAAAAAAAGTAGCAAGTGATGAAATAACGCCCCTCTTTATTATTAATTCTGCAACAATTACTACAGTTTGGATTTCACTTTTTGGTATATATGCAATTGCAAAATTAATACCAAAGATTTTGAACTAAATCAAATTTAAGTTTTATTCTGACACTGAAACTGAAAATTCTAGGCTTATTTAAATTGGAGTATACTATTTGACTATTAAGTATGTCATTAGTCGGTTGTGTTTTGCTGTCATATAAGAATTCTTCTATAGTGGAATATTACGTGCTCATATGGATACGGCATATGATTTTACTTTCAGCGTAGTACTATAATTGTATGCCTAATAAGTTAACTCATAAAATTTATATATTAGAATCAGCTCTTTATTGGCTTGCGTTGCAGGTGCAATATACATCTTTAGCATCTACTTTGTAATAAGATTATCCCAAATGAAGAAATATGCTTTAAAAAATTAGGAGATCTAGGCTAAGTATGGATCTATTTTTGATGGAATTAAAAAAGATCAATTTTCCAAATATCTTAATGCCATACTTCTAATCAAAAAACTTATCTTTATGATTTTATTAATTTTTGCATATGAGTTTCCAACCTTTCAAACAATCAGCATTACTCTTCTATCAATTTCGGTGAGCCTGTTTTATATCTTATTCAGTCCTTTAGAAGATAGATTGGAGTATTTTAAATAGTTATTTTCTGAAGTTAGTATATCTTGCACACTTTTGAATATAACTATTTTGACTTGTGATTTTGAGTTAACTTATTTTACATACCAGATTCGATAATATTTTGGGTGGAGTTGCATTTTTTTTATGACTTTAATATTATTCATTCAAATGGGGATTGATGGGTTTTAACAATGGAGGTTTATTTTTCAAAAGTATAAGCAAGTTAGAAAAATAGCTAAATTAATACTTGGAGCGTTTAAAAATGACAAATAAGTTCCTGCTTCTTCTATCATTTTCTAATGATTAAATTTGATTTAAAGCAGGTCTTAAGGAAAGAAATTGTGTTATGAATATTATATTATAATATATGATACTTAATTTTATACTTCATTCGCACAGGCTATTGATTACTAAATTATGGCTTCTTAATTTGATTATTGATATAAATATACTCATTACTTTCATGAATAACATACTTTGTAAGAAAATTAATTATTAAATTGGTCGATTTAAGGATCATCTTCATATCCCCCTAGTAGTTAAACTAAAAAATCTTTAGTTTTAACCAAAGCGTGGCAAATGGATTAATACTCACAAAGATTCCTCTGAGTTCATTTACTTTTAAAGCTTATTCCCCATAAATCATTCATTATGGGGAGTATAAAACAAGGTCTTAAAAGGAATGTGGATAATTATTTGAGGGATAGAATGAAATTCTTTATGCATTATTGTAATGGAGGAAGGTATCTTTGGAATAAATTGTTAATAGTGATTGGTTGGGTTTTATAAGACTTCTCGACTTCTCTATCTACTTAAGAAACTTAAAAATTAGACTTTTCTGTAATCACTTAAAGATGAGTATATATAAAATATGGGAAAGTTATTTCAACAGTTTTGCTTTTGTTATGATATCTTTTTCCCAGAGGCTAATATTCACAACAATTCCAAAGTCCGAGTTTAAGAAGAAGATCTTTTATTTCATCATTCTGGCCATATTAATTCTTATTATTTTGAATAGAAATTTTAAATTATAATATCTTTGCAATTATGATCTATGGAGAAAGCAATGGTTTTTTTCTAAGCACTAGCTGATATATTCATTTAATTTTCTTCATTTCATAATTATTTAATAATTGTTTAACATAAATCATAAAAACTCTTACTAAGGTATTATCTTGGATAAAAAATGAGATATAATTTTCCATCCTTCCTAATAACAATCAACCCTTCAATTTTTGAATCAAAAGCAATTAGTATTATTCTTGAGAAACCTCAACAACCCATCAGAAGAGATATCATTTAAGCCTAGTTATGAATTTTGATATTCTAAAAGCATCTTTTAATTAGATGTTAAAGATATAAACTAATGTTCTTTATTAAACTAAATAATAAGCATTTTCTAAAGAGATTTATTTGAGTATTGTGAGAAACATAATAGATCATTAGATTAAAGGCTAAAATTGAAAACTAACCTTTTTGAAATATTGAATTAACATATTATGGATCTTGCACTTTTGCTTACTATTACTTCTTCAGTATTAGGATCTTTTATTAAAAAGTTTATGAATATTAGTTTTAGGTTTATTTCTGATTTATTCAATCTGACATTTCAATTTAGTTTATGATTCAGATCCTAAAATAAATCCTGTTTCAAAATTTGTATTATTCCTACCTTGGATAATCAAATATAAAAATTATTTCAATTTAATATAAAAATTAAGAAAAACCATTAACAAAAGCTAAAATTGACAATAAATTAGAGCTCTATAGCCTTAGTAAAATCCATTAATGCCTTCTAATTGAATTTTTATTCTATGTGAAATTATCCTTGGTACAAATATGAACAAGCAAGCTTTGCAATAGCTCAAACCTAGACATTTATATGTATGATTGATTTTGATTTTCCACAGTTTGATTAGCATTAACCTAGATTTTAATCATGTTTTGAGTTGTTCAAATAAATATAACCAATAAAATATTTAATATTCTAGACATGAAGACTAATTTTGTTGAAAAATAACTAATTATATTCTATAATCAAAGTATAATTAAAGACGATCTTAAAATATCTTGAGATGTAAATATTAATTTAAACTAAAAATGTACTATTATAATTTAAATGGCATTTTTTATTTAGATAAACAAAGTAGCAATTGTAAAATAAAAAGGTCCAATAAATTATTATTATAATGGATTCGACAAATGTATAAGATATCTCTTTAGATTACTTATCAGATATATCAGTTGAAAAGGATAGAGGGATCTTCTAAACTGTGTACGATTAGCATGAGTTTGATAATTTAAATGAAGATTTTAAAACCTTGAGATTGTATTAGAAATAAATGATATTATGAATGAAATTTGAAACATTAAATTGGCAGAGAAGTTTGAAAATTGAGAGATTATAAAATAATTATTAATTAACTTGTTTAATTTTCAAAAAAAACAGTGAAAAAGCTAAGATATTTGTGTATCTAACAATCGATAAATATGTTAAGTACACAAAAGAAATTGCTGACTTTTTTACTATTTTTTAATGAAGGAATTTTAAAAAATTTTAGGCAATCAAAATAAATGCCTTTTAATTTTTGCAGACAAATGTAATATCAGTCTCTGTGGATATAATTTAAAGACTATAAAACAAAGTCTGAGAAAAATAGATAAACATAAATTTCTTAGAAATAATAAGATATTTTATTGTTCTAAAAAATAATATTACTTTACATAATATCTTATAGAGAAATTAATATATAGAGTTAGGAATTGTAATTGATCTACTTATGATAGGGGATTTTAATATCGAAGAAGTTGTTAATGCAAACGGTTAATAGGTTCATTAATCAAATATATTTAAGATTTATTAACAACATTTTTGAATATGCACAAGATCCTTGAATCGAAATCAAAATGGTTTCTTAAAGGAACTCAATTGTAATTAGATAAATTTTGTGGAAAAAAATGCTCACTTAGTGTCTTTACCAGAAGGTTCTGACAGGAGATCAAAATTGACATAAAGATTACATATCGCAAAAAGTAAATTTTAAGTAAGAATATTATTAATATAATACTGAATCATTATCTATCTATTCCTACCTTAAGAGCCTTAAAGCGGATTAGATTAAATAAATCTTCAAAGCATACAATCCTGAATAATAATAAATAAATAAATATATTTAAATAGAATAATAATTTTTGATAAGTATAATTTTAATCAAACTACAAGGTAGGATTATGTTAAACCCTAAAATAAAATTAATAAAAGCCTATTATCCATCATTTATTTTCAAATGTTACTTGTAATTAAGACATGTTATTTTAATCTCAGCAATTATCCATATTTCTAAAAGTCAACCCAAATGTTAAAATCTGGCCCTTAAAATGTTATCTAATCCAAAAAAGTATTTTTGATACCAAATAATTGATACATTCTTGTAATAGAATATTTTTTAGAGAAATAATCTATGATAAACCTCTATAGGAGCTAATATGATGATGGAAATTTAATATTGATATTTGAAATAATCTAAGTTTACCAATTTAATTAGAATTTTTTTATTCTAATTAGTCATAATATCATTTATTTGTTTTCAGTCTTTTTCAAGTGTTTTTATAACAACAATAAGCTTTAAATTATTAATGAGATGTATTATCATGATACAAAACGAAGAATAAATTTTTGAAATAATATAAGATAATTGAATGTATTGCTAATATTGAGAAGTGATAAATATTCATCATCATTAATTTCTTGTAATTGATATTTCTTGAGATCTTCAAATTAGGCTATGAGGTTTTGTAATCATTAGATAATGTTGAAAAAATAATGTTTTATTAAATCTAATCTTGTAAAATGATAGTATCCTCAATACCAGCCAACTTGATGATATATAAATATTTCGCTCAAATCCTAACAGAAATACTTTCGATTAATAATTATAGCTGATGGGATTCAGATGAAAAATCAACATATTAATCATCACTTTCCAATTAGTAGGTTTTCTTTATTTAAATATCTAAACATTAGTTTTTTAATCACAACCCATCCAACAAAAAGTGTTTGGATGGAAAATGAGTGATCTCAAATGAAGAATAATAGGTTAATTAATCCTAATTGAAATTAACCCTCTTAATATCTACTTAGCAATTATCATTAGCTAAGATCAATTTTATTTATTCTTTATTTAATACTCTCTGCAATAAGAACCTGCATTCTGCTGCAGATACAAAACTCTTCTTAAAATTTGCTACTAGGCATAATTTGTGACTTTAAACCAAGGCTAATACTAAAAATGTTGTTCTAAGCTTCATGCGCAAATCCTTTCTTAATCTGTTATGCTGTTAATGCATAATTTGTTTGGATCATATATCATTATTTAAACGCTAAATGAATTTTATATACATTTTGAAGAAATCTTAAATAATCTGCTTGTCTTTCATACCTAGATAATAGTGTTAATTATGTCTACTAAAGTGTAAGTTTTAAATTTACTCAAGTCTTTACTATTTACAAAACTTCTCAGAAATGCTTTTAGTCTATAATCGCTATCTCAATTTTGGGATCAAAAGACATATAAACTAGTCAGAATCAACGCTTTTAGTGTAAATGATGATACTTATAAAATATTTTCAAGTATTATAGATTTGAGTAAACCAGGAAGAAAATAAAATAAAATTAATATAAATAATGAAGTATGTGAAATATACAAACTTAACAGCAACTTTATGAAGTTCAATAGAATACAAAAGCAAAAGGAGGTCCCTTACAAAAAGGGCAAGTTATATCATCTCAAAAAATCAACCATGCTTTGCAAATTAAACTACTCATCAGTATCAATAAGTTTGGCTCACATTTATAAAAGTATAAACAAGACCTTTCAATAAAAGTATTTTGTTTCATTTCTCGTGTTTATGCCTTCCTATTCATAATAAATTCTTAGTTTGCCAATCATCGAATGCTATCTTTTAAATTTTCTTAATCAATTATTCATACTCTATGGAATTGGTGATTTTAATAAAGGATTAAATAAGTTATAAATTATTTTCCCCTATGTTTAAGACAAATAGTTATTATCTTCAGTCGTTATTAATTCCATTCTTGGAGTTCTTGGGGTTTAAATTAATTCATCTAGTTATTCTTCAAGCATCACCTGCTTATTGCATTCTGATACATTATATGATGGTCTAGTTTAATTATATTCTTAATATAAGCATTTTTATATACTAAGAACGAAGCTGACAGCAATACTGTTGCAGAAGATTCTTCAAATCTATCAAATAGAGGTAGACAGTGAATCTCCTGCAAGTAATGCCAGCAGTGTACGTTTAGGGTAAGTATAGGGTGATAGCTGCGTAAAAATTAAAAGAGTGTCAAATATTAAAAAATTAAATAATCAATATAACACTAGAGAGAAAGTGAACAAAACGAATTGCAATATGGAACTGCTCACTGGAATAATTGTAATATAATTAATGGTTTTTAAAAAAGTGGGAAGCATTACTCGAGATAGTAAGATAAATGCATTGTGAGCTCTTTCTTTAAACACTATTCAAGTATAAATAAAGTGATAAATGCAAGTTCATTTCTTTTGAAGATGGAATTGGGATAGATGCATCAATTATCGTCGTTTCATTTCTTAAGTGGTTTATGACTATTATCTCATGCTTGGCTTTTTGTTGGCTGTCAAAGAAGGAAGGAAAATGATAATGACACCATATAATTGCAGAGTGAAAGGTACAAGATCAAATGTTATATCTTTTAGAAATAATAAAATCACTACAGACTTAAGTAAAGATTTGGATATCATTATATAATTACAAGATGGATCACAGCTTGATTAACAGTCGTAACATCAACACAGATGTGTATCATATTTAGTAGTTTAGTTAAAGTAGAAGTATAAATATAGGGCAGATAAACTCATGGTTTATTGTTCACACAGTTTCAAAATCAAGATATGTACATTGCATGAATTGCATATTTTCTCAAACTGTAGCCTTTGAATATGCAGAAGGTACTTTGTGCTTAAATAGTTTAGACTATGCTGATTGTTGCAGACCTATTAGATATCATACTCTTAAGCTGTTTGTCAAGAGATTTTAGACTAAAGGTTGGAAGGTTGATACTGAACTTGGTTCAAATCTTTACGAATCAAATATTACAAACTTAATATTCAATTAACATCGCAAGTTTGGTAATCTCACCGAAAACATATGCAATGTTTAGTTTTACTTATGAAAGATAATTATTGCTTAACAAGGCTGGGACATAACCTTATGAAGCATTAATTAAAGTATGATATGGCTGCACCTACTCATTTATAAAAGTATGTACTTTCAAGAAGTACAATTTAAAATGGAACATGCGTTTAGCGCATCAATATCAAAGCCTGCATACTAGATGGCCTAAGAATAAAACTAGTTATAGTTACTAGTGTGAAAAAAAATTCGAGTGTTTCAAATTGTACAATTATATGTGCATGAAGGGTTTGATTGATCGCTAAATTACAACATTCTAAGGTTATTTTTTTAAAGTCTTCTTTATAAATCATTCAAATCAGTACATATTCATATATAATAAATACTATAAAATTTGCAAAGTAAAGGAAAATTTCAAAATTATATAATCAAGCTGGGAAATTGTCTTTCCTATAGCACAAATGGTTATTTTCATAAGGATGGTGAATGTGCAAAATATGTTAAGATGACTAATGTTAATGTGAATGTATATTTTTTAAGATAATAACAAATAGAATACTAATAAATTCTTAATGCATTAATCATAAGGATATTTTGAATCCAGATATCCTGAATACATATTTTAAGCAAGTTTAAATAGGAATTATAATTATGAGAATACGTGCTCATGTCTATGTTTTAATTTGAATAGCGTAGTTTAAAAATTAATATCAATCATATTTTTGAACTTATCAAAGGTCATCAAAGAATGAGTGTACAACTTGTAATTCTCTAAATAATAGAGAATTAAATGCATATAGGATAATGTATATACTTTAAACTTCATGAAGAAATCAAATTAGTTTAAATCTGGGAGTTATGATAGTTATATGATTACATGGTAATTATATTAAAATAATTATTGGATTCCCTTATACAAATTAAATGGACATATTGGTTATATCTATTGTCTAATATTAAATAACAATGAAGATTTAATTGTATCAGGAAGTCGAGATAATACAATTAACTTTTGGATGAAAAAGAATGAATTGCCGTGTTACTAAACAATCAAAGATCATTCTAGTTCTGTATATGGCTTGAGTTTAAATCAATAATAAAATAAAGTTGTATCTTGTGGTTAGGATAAATTAATATTAATAATGGAACAATAAGGACAGAATAAAGAATGGATTGTAATATAAAAAATTACAATTGAAAAATGTGCACGTCGTGTATGCTTTATTGATAATAATATGTTCGCATTATCATTAGATGGGAAAGAAGAGATAAATATTTTTGAGATGAACAGTATATATCAATAGTTTACAAAGACTACAGATATTCATGTAAAATGTGGATCAGATGGTAATTGTTTATTTCCTTAATAATATATAAATTCAAAATGCATCCTTGTGAGTAAGAATGTTCAGTTACACGTAATTGGAAAAAATAGTTTTATGATTTTGGTTTAACTTCAGTTTAAACATTTTGATTGGCCTACTAATATAAACATTTAATTAATTACATATTTTACCAATAGCCAACATCACCCAATTCATAGTGAATTTAATATTTTCAAGAAGATAATCATTCAAGGGAATATTCAAGAACCAGCTTGTTTCAAAAACCAAAAAGAACATTAATTTTTAACTCTCATTTATGAAGCTAAAAGTTACACCTGAAGGGATATTAAATTTTCTATATAACAATTGACTTGAATTCTCAAAAATATAAATGTAGCGTCCTTCTCTCAAATTGGCTCAGACATTCTTTTCATTAAAATCTCTTTCTTCTTTCATTGTCATTTATCTATTGAATTCATTCTTAAAAATTGTCATATATCTCTTTCTATTACATCCATCCAATCTAAGCCTTGGTTTAAATTGAACTCTTACATTTTTAATTCCTCTTATTCAGAAATTTTTGTAATTAGCATCCACAAATCTCTCTTCACACCATTCCAATTTAATAATTACGTTCTTCTAACCAATTTCTCTATTTTTAACCCAAAGCTCTTCATCATTTTATGCTTTTGAAAAAAGAATCATTAAACCTTATTGGCATAAATCACCACCTTTTTGAGTTCTTTAATACTAGTGAAATTCAGATATCAAGAAGGACAAAAATAATTTTAAACTTCATATTTCACGATTGGGGGTTTTGAAAAGTGAGTTGGATATTGATTTTATAAATCTAATTTAATTTTCAATTATAAAAATTAAACGGCTTTAATATTTCAGCAGCTAGATACACATACTTAAATAAGTCAGTTTTTTAATAACTCAGAATTATCAATTTATAAATTGTGATGTAAATGCAAAATGAAACTGTTGCTTTGGCTCTCTTTAACATCAATCTTCTTATTGTCATCATTTAAATGCAATTCCAACAACTGACAAAATTACTTAGTATAGACTAAAAAATAAAATTTTCCAAATTTAGATTGCTAATAATTATATACTAATGCTTCTCTACTTCCTAGATATTTCACTATAGTAAAGTAATCGATATTGCCAGATAATATTTGAAAAACACATTAAAATAGATATCAAATAGGTTATGACTAAAAGGAGTACCTTAACACACTTTATAATTAATTATACTTTCTTTTCATTCGCAACATCATAAATAGAGACAAAACTAAAATTACACCTCTTCATTTCAAAAACTTAGCATTATTAAAAATTCAACAGTAATTTTCTATTCACTATATTTATGGTTGTTTCTACTTAACTCAATAAGTATTATTCTTATTGTTTTTTAAACTTACCATTTTGACTAGACTTCTTTATGCAATTGCTTTGTCATTTAAATTGAAATTTTTTTCTAATTTCTTCAAAATAATAATAATATTCTTTCATCACAAATAAATGATCAATATATTCTAAATCAACCGTCTTTTATTATCCAGCATGCTTGATTGGAATAATTGATTAGTATAGCTTTCCTAATAAAACGAATCATTTTAGAAATGAATTAAACTTGACTTTTATTTAATATCTGACTTTAGTTATTTAATACTTACAGCCTCTTCCTGAAACCTATATTATAACTATGAAAAAGTTTCATGTTTATTCTTATGATAACGTTTGAGATTTCCTAAAAACCTAACCACAATACTCAATACTTAAAGGTTTTACTTTATTTTCTAGAGTTATTTAGAAAAGAGTAAGGAAAACTGGCTTAGTTTGTAAAGCAATCCAGTTTGCAGTTATACATTATTCACTTAATTAGCTATACTATAAGTTGCTCTAATAACTTTTGTATCTCCTAAAGTACAATAATTCATCATTTTTACGTATTTATGAAAATTAATAATTTCTGTTGGAAATACTAATTAAAAAAAATCTTTTATGAATTTCAATTAATTTTATTCTATCCTCTCAATTTAATAAAATTTGATATTCAATAAATGCAAAAATATGCTTAAGGAGAGTAGAGTAATTAAATTAATAATATATTTTTTCCAAAGCGAGGCGAGTGTAATTTAGTCAATTAGAAGTTGGATCTCTCAATAATTACTTGATCAAAAACATCAAAAATATCAAAATTCTTATAATTATTTAATTAATATGAATCATTAATGAGAGAGATCCAAATTTTTTCTATTTTTAGATCAATTAAAATTTATTACCTCAAAGGTAACATTAAATTTACTCAAGGAATAAAGAAGAATAGACTTCGAAAATCTTACTATTCAAAATAATGGTACTTTGAGAAACCTAATGAATTTTTTCCATCCTCACAAATTGCAATCAACTTATGGTTTAAATAAATTTTAAAGTTCTAAAATAGCATCAAGGGTAGTTTTGTCAATATTTTGAAATTATTAATTTGAATTTAATTTATTACTTAAATTTAAATGATACTGAATAGGTTTTGGATGAAATTAAAGAGTCAACATTCACATTAATTTAAAAAATTTCAAAATAATAAAATGTAATAATAGAAAATCATCAACAAAATATTAACGAAAACAGAAAGGATTTAATATTTTTGAATGAAGGAACCTTTTTATGTATAATCAAAATTAATTTTCATCTTTAAAGTACAAACTGATTCTAATACTCATTACTTAAATTTAGGTAAAGTTATTGAAAACATGGATGATTATTTTAATGATTAAAAAATAGTTTTCATTAAAATAGAAAGAATTAATCTAAATCCATTCTAATTGCATTTAGGTTTTAGTGAGTATATAAAAAATGAGTTTTATTGTTATTTGGAACGTTTTTTAAGATGCCCATTTATCTGAATTTTCATTATTCTAAAAAGCTTATAAGAAAAATCAATTATATCATTTTAAATGACTAACAAAACATTGCTACATCAAATAGGATTCTATTAGCAGCTTGCATTTCTCAGATAAAAAACTAAACATTAGTGTATAAAGGTTAGAATTCGGTTATTAGAGTTTAAGTTTAAAGTTATAATTATAAATTTAAGGATGTGTAACTATCTCACTTTCTTTTGAATTTATTTAGAGACTATATCAACAAATTCAAAATTAATTCTTTGATTTAGCTTACTGGCTTTAATTGATTCGATTGGAGGATATAGAACATATATATTGAACTATTTTGATTAATTTGAAGGCAACCAATTTGAAAATATAATACTTGAATATCTGAAAAATCATTAATTTTTTTTTGCTCACAATCAAAAAAAGAATAATTAATAATTTTGATCAATTTACTCACTATCACAAATTCAGTAGTGATAGAAATCTAATATATAATAATTTATAAGATTATAATATAAATTGTATCAAACATTTAAATTTTTTGGTTTTTTAATAATAAATTAAAATTAGCCAAACTATCATTAAAAGGATTATAATGATTATAACGATTAATAATAATATGTCATTGTGGGTTTGGGTTTGGGTTTGGGTTTGGGTTTGGGTTTGGG